GAGAGAGAGAGAGAGAGAGAGAGAGAGAGAGAGAGAGAGAGAGAGAGGGACTGATAAGAAGGCTCAGCAGACAGAGGTACTTGCCAAGCCTTACAACCTGAGTCCAGTTCTTAGGATACTTATGGTGGAAGGAGAGAACCATTGGTCTCCATGCAAGTTGTCCTCTGATCTTCCTGTGTGCCACGGCATGTACGTGCCCACATACAATAAGTGAAAGAGAGAGGATGTGTGTGTGTGTGTGTGTGTGTGTGTGTGTGTGTGTGTGTGTGTAGCTGTTAAAGGAAACAGCTTACCTGTTGAAGTAAAGAGGAACCACAAGGGGTCTCCTGTAACAGAACAGTTCTTTCTACACAGAACTTTGATTTATTTTTTGCTTGCTAGAAGTAGTGTCAATTACCTTTTCTTTTGAAGACAGTGTGGGATGAACAAACTTCCTGTACAGGAGGCTGGATCCTTTTGTATAGGGAGAGAGCAGCCAGGCTACAAATGCTATTTTTAGTTCATAATAGAATGGGAACCTGGAAAGACAAGAAAAATACACTTTTCATTCCATTCTCAGAAGCACCGCCTGAGGCCCGCGTGGAAAGGGCCATGGATGGCATGGGTGCCTCCCACCTTACACAGAAGAGGTTCCTCATCCTCCACCTGTGGAAGGCATGTGCACCCACATGCACATCTACACACCCAAGACCTCTCCCTGAAAGCCAATTCATGTTTTGTTTTGTTTCTGTTTCCCAAGAAGAACAGGAAGGCAGGTTCCCTCCAGCAATTGCAGCATGGCTCTGCCTGACAGCAGCTGGCAGCAGAAACTGCAGGGCGATTGCTCACTGCGGTTTGCATGTGGATCCAGCTGCAGCTGTGGGCTCAGAAGGTCAAGATTGTATCTGGGCATGTCATTACTCATCCTTCATTATGTATGGCCAGGAGACACAGAGATCAGGGGAGTTACAGCAGGGTGAAGCTAGCAGGGTCTCCACACTGGCCAGGTACCTCCCTTTCTTGTCTCAATAGAGACAGAGAGGGGAGCCCGCCTCCTACCAAGCAGGAGAATCTGACTTACTCTATTCAACTCAAAGGCAGGCACAGAGATCGTAATCTTTTCTTGTGTGTGCCAAAAGAAAGAAGAGTGTGGGGTATGAAGTAACACACGATCCTGGCCTCCTACACACCCGCGAGCCCATTCATTCATGTGTCCCACAAACACTCCCCCTCCACTTATCCATGCCAGCTTAACTTGGCGGTAGAAGGGGAGTGGCCCAGATCCCTGCCATCTCGGAACTTCCAGAAAGAGACAAGATTTTGGCATCTTGGCTGAGGCAGCAGTGAAGTCAGGAGAAGGCTTGCTTTGCGAGTGTGATCCACAGAACCCACACAGAAAGAAAAGGCCAGATGTAGTCACATGTACTTGCAACCCTGGTGCTGGAGAGGCAGAGACAGGCAAATCCCTAGGACATTTTAGCCTCCTCAAGGATGAGCCACAGGCATGGAGACCCAGTCTCAGAAAAAATGTAGATGGATCAGAGGAACCACACCAGAAGCTCTTTTCTGGCCTACAAATACATGAGGCACACATGATGTGCATCCTTAGAAACACCAGTGCTTTAGAAACACTTCCAAATATATACACGCATGCGCGCACACACACACACACACTCACACACCTTCAGAAACACCAACAAACAGAGAAAGAGGATGGAGGTATGAGAAGAGGAAAGGAGAGGACCCGACGTCCTTGAATTTAGGATTGCCTAATAAAATAGCTAGAGACTGACTGATAAAATAATATCAACCTGAGACAAGAGTCATAGTTGGTCATAGTGGGTCTCTGTTACTCTACAGCAAGTTTTTTTAAAAAATGGAAAATCCAAGCCCCCTCAAGTGGATGCAGACCAGTGGGACCATGTAGTAAGTAGGGTTTGACCCATATTTCAACCCCACCACCTCAGTCTCTACCTGGGGCTGTGAATAACCTGGACCATCATATTGTGGCGCTCAGAGGTCGATTACCACGAGTTTTGATTTTCTGTATTCTGACACTGTGACATCCTGAGGCTTTGTTGACCCTGGGGGAAGTGTCCTTACCAGAGCAAGCCAGTTCTTAGAGCTGGCCAAGAATGCCCTCCCCAGCATAAGGTTCTTTCTGAACTTTACTTTTTTCTAATATTTTATTTTAAAATTTTGTGTATGCATGTGTGTAAGCGTGAGTTTATGCATGTAAGTGCAGTGACCATGGAGTCCAGAAGAGGGTACCAGATTCCCCCAGAAGCTAGAGTTACAGGCTGTCATGATCCACCAATATGAATGCTGAGACCCTAACTCCAGTCCTCTGCAAGAGCAGCAAACACTCTTAACCACGGAGCCATTTCTCTAGCACCCTCCCCAATGCCTTTTTATTGCATTTAAAGACAGGGTCTCACTTGTAGTTCCCGTAGCCTAGAACTTATTATGGAGACTAAGCTAGCCTAGAACTCACAGACATCTGCCTGTCCCAGGTACAAATCACCATGCCATCCTCCATTCCTGTTTTTGTAAAAGAAGAAACAGAGACAGTCTTTAAGAAAGGGAAATCACTGCTGGGAGTGAGAGTGGGCTAGTGAGGGAAGAAAGGCTTTTGCTCAGAGTCCTATAGCTACGCACACAGGCCAGTAGTCCAGAGTCTGCAGGATCTTATACTCTGAGCCACTCTGCACTTGCTGGCATTTCCCTAGGAGCAGGACCCAGAGCCAGAGATGCACCTGTATCTCAGAACCATTGGCAATAACAACCCCAAACCCACTCACCTTCCTAGTGCATTCCTTCCCATGGAACTGTGCCCACAGTGAGAGCCACTGTTCCTACCCTCTGCCTCCAGAACCATCCTGGCACCTCCCCTTGTGGCCTTGTATGGTGTGGTGTGGTAAGCCGCACTTCCTGTTTCTAGGGATCTATGAGTTGAATAAATATCTCCCTTCCTATCAGTCATTTTCAGGTTCCCAAGTTGGACCACATCTCCTTAAAAGGAACCTCAGGCATCCTAAAAACAAGATGCAGTGGGCGAGGAGGCCTCTTATGCTAGTCTGAGGGATCAAAAAATAAGTCTTTCCCAGGCATCTTTTCCAGATGAAGGAGCTGAAAATAAAAGCAATCCCTAGCAAGCCATGTCAGAGCCTTTTCAAAGGCATATGCTCCCCACCCTCCCTCCCCATCAGCAGTTCCACCTCACCAAAGCCTGTCTGCTTTCTGCCTCCAGTAGGCTCTTCCTGAATGTTCTCCCAGCAACTGGGGTGGGGGTGGGGAGGGCTCTTTCCTGGCAAAGCTGTTTCATCTTTCACAGCCACAGAAGACTGGGGCTAAGAGAGGGGAGGTGTGATTGAGTCCCCCAGAGTGAAACACACGGGTGATTAATAACGGAGGAACTTTTGTTTTGAAAACAAATTATTTGCCAGCCCAAGGGGAAGGCAACTGAATCCAGCAAGCTCAGACAGACAGTCCCAAGGGCAGCCGTCACACTGCAGCTCTTCTGGTATTATGTAAAAGATATTTTTAAAAGTAGGTCATGCATGCACACAGTTAAGAAACGCTAAAGAATGTAAGCGTATACAGGAGAGTCTCCTTCCCACCACGTCCTCTAGACTTTTTCTTCATCAGTTTCTTGCACATCTTGGACTAGGAGTTAGTCCTGTTCAATCACATAGGAACCTGTGATTCCTTTAGCTGTCTGGTGGTGGCATTGGTCGCCTGGCAGCATCTCTACACTTCCTTCAACACCTTGCTTTCTCTAATCTGCACAGAATCAACAGTATACACTGGGGACTGTCTCATACCAGAACATGGAAAGCTTCGGTCCTCTTCATGGCTTTCTATAGGGGTGCAAGCATCTTCCAGGCAAAGGGATTGATGACAACCTTTGTCTGTTACAAGCCAAGCTTCCAGCACACCTTCCTGTGTGTGGTTCTTTGAATACACATACAAATGCGCAATGGCATGGGGGCTCGGGAGTGAATTATCTGTGTGCACTTTGTAGACAGCAGGCAACTCCATATAGATGGAGAAACGGCATTCTCACTACAGCCAACTAAGAGCCTCTGTCCTAGGCTACATGGTTAGGGTCTGAGGAATGCATATGCCTATCCGACTCTCCCAGGGGCCCCTCAGGACTGCTCAGACTATCTTGATTCTCTGAACCATTTGTTACAGATCGCTTGTTCTTTAGAATCTTTCTGGCATATCCCACCCATGCTGATGCAGCTTTTAAAACCCTCCTGGAAGAAGGCTGGAGAGACATCCTGTGCTTAAGAGCACTCGCTGCCCAAAGGATGGGCATTTGGCTCCCAGCACTGATACTGGGAGGCTCACAACTGCCTATACCTTCATCTCTGGGGATTTTGACACCTTCAGTCCTCTGAGGACCCACATATGCCTGTAATGAATGTATACGCACGCATTCTCTCTCTCTCTCTCTTTCTCTCTCTCTCTCTCTCTCTCTCACACACACACACACACACAAATATATTTATAAGAATATCTTTAAAAACAACCATATTTTTTTTTCTGTCTCCACACTTTTTAGTTCATCCCTTGGGCCTCCTCTGTCAGAATAGAGCACATTCCAGCGACAATCAACGTGAAAAGCATTAACACGTGTGGCCTCTCCCACTCTCCCTGTCTCCCGCATGTTCTAGCCCAGGGCAGCCCATCCTTATCGCTGGACTAGGGCCCTGAAGTATGGTGGGAAGCTGGTGTAGGAATGCAACAACTCCAGAGATAAGGGACCGCCTGCTCCTCCAGGACCGGATGCTTACAGGCTGAAACCAACTCCTAAAGCTTTGCTGTGGGTAAGGAAGACTGAACAGACCTTAATCTACCTCTACAAATGGTGCCCACGAAAGGAAATCCAGTCTCTCTGTTTGTCCCAGAACTGCCCCAGTCCTGGTTCCACTTCCTCATTCCCAGCCTGCATTTCCTTCTCAACAAAACTCTGCTTGTGAAGTTCCTGACTGAAAGCTCAGCTTCATCTCCAGGTGAAGGGGTTAAACTCTGCCACGTTCACAACTGAAGTTAGGGTCCAGGGCGCTGAGAAGGACACACAGGTGTCTTTCCCAACAAAGGGCCATTTATCTACAAGGCCCTTACATTCAGGGTGGAGGGAAAGAGCAAACACAGAGGGCCTAAATTAGCCTCCCAGTATCTCAAGGATACACCCAGCAGCCCCCTTCCCAGTCAAGCCCCAGCTTGTGAAGATGTGACCAGAAGTGATAAGATTAAACCTCAGCCAATTAGAAATCTGCTAGTGTAACTGCTGCTTGTTTAAACTAATTATATAGCTGGCCCTGAAATGCCCCTTAACTATACTTAAAAGCAGCCTACACATCCCTCTGAGGTCACTGCCCATTTGCACAGGTGAACGACCCCATGTGACCCCACATGCATGACGGTATAATAGACCCTCTTTGTTCTTGCATACTGTTTGAGTCTGGGGTCTTCCTTTAGTGTTTCCTCGGATTGAGAAGGGAGCTCCTGCTTGTCCCTTGTTGAGTGTTTTCTTGATAGCAAAATCAAAAAAAAAAATCAAGACTTTATCCTATTATTGACAATCACCGCACTTGCACTAAGAGTCATTTGTCCTGAGATATCTGTTTGTTGATTGACTGACTGGTGGACCCATTTGCTCATTTATACATGTATTCACTCCACTGAGAAAATCCTTCTTCAAAGCTGTGAGCTGAAAGGCTATGCAAAGCAGGACAGGTGTTCTAGTCACTCCCTTCCTGATCAACGCGACTTACGGGAGGGAAGGGTTTGTCTGCCTTACGCTTTGCAGTTCATCACAGAACAAAGTCAGGGCAGGAACTCACTTGCTCCCTCACAGGCTCCTGTTCAGCTGCCTTTACTATCTAGCCCAGGAGCTCCTGGTGAGGGGTGTGCTGCCCTCTGGGTTGAGTTTTCCTACACCAGTTAGCTATCCCAAATACCCCACTGATACGCCCACGGGCCAATTCCTCAACCTGTGCTTTCCCCTCTGAGGACTCTGAAGCTGTGTCAATTTGACAGAGACAGCTAGACAATAGACTCGTCCTTGCCCAGGAGAGAGCCAAGACAAAAGGGTGAGACCACAGCAATGCCACACAATACAGCAGAAGTGTGGACAAAGTCCTCGTGGGGCACAAGGCCATTAGTACACCCCAATTTCCTTTTGTTGTTCACCCCTCCCCCAAGTTTTCCTTGCTGTGTTTGATAATACCCCAACTATCATATGTTGAAAACCAACCCCTGAGGAGTCCTCCTAGCAGTGGACCTTAGCTTTCCATTCTTCCTTTCTTCTCTGCCTCCCTCCCCTTCCTGTCTGTCTTCCTTTGGTGGTGCTGGGACTGAGCCTCAGGCCTTACATAGGCTAAGCAAATGCTCTGCAAACCACATCCTCGGCCCCTGTACTTAATTTTCAATGTATTGTTTCAATTTTACTTTGCCATGCACATACATTATTTTATAATTTAAAAAGGATAAGATGAAATTGCCTCCACGAGTTGTGAAGCAAATCATCATCCTATCTCTTCTGTGACCACTGAATTGCTGCTTCCATCAAGGAGCGAGGAAGAGGGGAGAAGAGAGGCAAAGAGAGGAGAGGGGAGAAGAGGAGAGAGAGAGAGAGAGAGAGAGAGAGAGAGAGAGAGAGAGAGAGAGAGGGAGGGAGGGAGGGAGGGAGGGAGACAGTGAGGAGGAAAGTGCCCTGGGAAGGATGGTAAACAGAAGGGATGAATGCAGTGAGGGGCCTATTCCAGGAGAGCCCTTCTCTGCAGAGCCGAGGCCTCCAGGAGCAGGGCAAGGGACCCTCACTTCCCATCCATAAACTCCTAGACACCACCAGCTAAGAGGGCCAAGGAGGAACAGGTGAGGCCTCCAGCTGACAAGCAGAAAGGCAGGAATTCTCCCCTGCCCGTATAAACACTCCAGACATACCAGGTACCACATATATTCCCACTTTAGAGCAGGATTTTGCCCATGACCTTCTTCTCCTTAGTCATATAAGGTGCTTACAGATGTAAGGTTACTCACAGCTAATTTTAAGGCGGGGAGACAGCTGGATTATTGGGGTGAGCCTATCTAATTACACGTTACATAGTCAACACACAGACCTTCTGTTGGAAGCAGAAGACACGATCTGATGCCCGAGAAGGATCAAGATAGCATTGTGAGCTTGAAGAAGGGAGCTGTGCACATTAAGAAAACAGAGCCCATGGTCCTACAAACACAACAGATAAAATGCAGCTCACAACCTGAGTGAATGTAAGCGGAAATCGTTCCCAGAGCCTTCGGACAGAGCACGGCTGTTCCACACCTTGACCCTGGCCTTGGGAGGTTCTGAGCAGGGAATTTGGTTTGCTCAACCCCAACTTCTAACTTGTAGAAGTGGTAGAATAACCACTGTGTGCAAGATCAAACTTACATGTCTCACCACACAAAAAGAAAAGAAATTCAGACTCCTGCAATGGCCGGCACATGGCTCCTTTAAAAGAAAGACTGCAGAGCTATGTTCTAAAATAATTACTGCCAATGACTCAAAATGGAACTCAGAGATTTGCTGTCCAGGTCTGACACTGGGCCTATGACGCTGTACGGTGGGGAACATAGTTAATACTGGCTCTTTCGGAGTAAAAAGCTTTCTCTTCTCCAGAATGGAAATAACTGCTTTTTGGGTGGAAGCTTCTTCACCTCAGTCCCTGGCACCCATATATCCAAAGAGTCTGGAATGTTTGGGTGGAAGTTCCATTCCAAGCCCCCTTCCCTCAGAGTTGCCTCAGTCCAGACTTCACCCCTGAGAAAGCCCGCCAAATGATGACTCCCTCCCCAAAGATGCTCAAGACCACTCCCACAGGGTATTTAAACTGCCCCCCAGAGAACAAACTCATGGTTTTCTGGTCTTCCTTCCCCATCTCCTCTCTGAGGGCCTGGAAGGCCAAACAGAAGCGCTGGTATCCATTAAACCTGGGCCTTTTCTAATTTGGTTTGATTTGGTCTGATTTGGATTATTGCATCAGCGGAGAGGCTTATTGGAACACAGAAACTTTTCACCTGCCAACCTCCTTAAATACGAACAAGATACTCTGTGTTACTCACCATCTTGGAGAGAAAGCTGCATATCAATGCAAACAATGTTTTAATTGCACCACTGCTAAAAATAGCTGTATTAATTTCTTTCGGGGATAGAGAACTAAGACAAGGTCTCATATAGCCTAGGCTGGTCTTGAACCCACTAGGTAGCCAAAGCTGATCTTGAACTCGATCCTGCCTCTACCTCCCAAGTACTGAGATAAAAGATGTGTGTCTAGCAACTGTATTGTTTATAAGCAAAAGAAGCCAAACAACTTGTTGTTCATCAAAAGGACATTAATTGGGACTGGAGAGAAGGCTCAGTAGTTAAGAGTGCATACTGCTCTCTCAGAGAACTCCAGTGTGGTTCCCAGCAGGCACTCTTGTTAGGCCCCTCTCAACACCCCGTAACTCCAGCTCCGGAGGATCAGATGTCTGGCCTCCTCAGGTCCTGTACTCAAATGCACTACTCCTCCCCCCACATACGCAAGTGGACCTATACACAATTAAAAGTAAAATACATCTTCAAACATTCCAAAATGACACTAATTAAGTAAGTTATATTTCATCTAGATCATGAAATTCTATGTGGCCACTGAAAAATAGGTAGATATACTTATGTGCATATGAAAGTATTTCCAAAATAAATTCAATAAGCAAGCTGAGAACTGTTACTTCTCATACTATTATTTAAAGAGAGAAAACAAAACTATAAGGAGCATACTTAGGAACCTGAAAGAGGAAGTTTTAGTGGAAAAGATTAGCCTAGGCTACATCGAGACACTGTCTCAAAAAGGTTAACCTCCAAAACCAAAACCAATGACAAAAGAGTTACCATAAAAAAAAAAAAAACAAAAAAAACATTGGGCCAGCGAGATGGCTCAGTGGGTAAAGCGGCTTGCTGTACAAGGCTGATGAATACATGTAAAGTTGGAAAGAGACAGCTCCAAAGTTGTTCTCTGACTCCCACATGTGTACCATGGCATGCTTGTGCTCACATGTACCACGTATTCATCATATGCAACATGCACATACATACAAACACACACAAGGAACAATCAAATTTTAAAAACAAAAACTGTCTGTGTATTTATTAACACACCGACAATTTCATTTTTGTTTTTTGGAGACAGAGTTTCTTGATGTAGTTCTGGCTATCCTGGAACCGACTATGTTCAAGATGGCTTCAAACTCAGAAAGATCCACCTGCCTCTGCCTCAAGAATCCTGCAATTAAAATACCACGCCTGGCACCAACAAACGTTTTATGAGGACACACAAGTATGAACAGTGGTTATGAAAGAGCACAGGGGTCAGGAGGAAATGTGGCATTTTGATCGCACGCTTATTTTGTCTTGCAGTGTTAGGTCTCGAGCCCAGGACCTCATGCGTACAGCATTAGTGTTTATTTTTAGGCTTATCCCCTTCACTGCATACTCCCGTATATCACCTTTTCCTTCTCTGGCATGTGCGTACATCACCAACTCCGGTCACGGAGGGGCTCTGCCCATGCAATCGCTACTACGTCCCTAGGGCCCCACACAGCACCTGCTCTTAGGAAGTCCAGCACGGAAATTTACTTGAACAACTTTTATGGAGTAATTTACTAAAAATGCTGCAGCTAACATTCCAGTTTTGGTCCTGCTCCTCTGCCCAAGGGAAGGCCGAGGTTCTTTCCACCTCTCCCCACCCACAAAGATGCCCTCTGAAATGTGCCAGCCCCTGGAGCACTTACCAGCAAAGGAAGATGTCTGTGAACGTCTCTGCTGTGGTGAAGAGGGCAAATATAATCCAATACATCATCCATTTGACCTGTTAAAGAAAGACTTGGTAGACAAGGCCATGGCTGTCCAGCTGAAGGCGGTGAACACGGAGGTGCCTGTCGCCACCCTCCCCACACTTCCCTAATTCAGGTACAGCTCTACTACACACCTCCCATGCTGGGAGCAAACAGGGTGTTGTACAGAGTAAGATTTCAAGCAAAACCCTTGGAGGACTCTTAGACTTTAATACAGGTTAGCTATACCTTAGGACAAAGCCCCAGAGAGCTGGGGAAGGAGCCTGAGCCTGCCAGACTGGCTGCAAGTTCAAGAGGGGAGAACCTCAGAGAAGGGAAGCCAAGGCAGGGAGACCCCAGAATTGACACTCTGAGCTGTTTTCAAAGTCTTGAGAATCCCGGCACTTGAGGTTCTCATGAGGATCATGAGGTTGGGGTCAACTTGGGCCACAAAGCAAGAACCTTCCGCAAAAACAACAAAGCTCCTGACTGGACCCTGGACTGCAAAGAACCAAAATAAGATTTCAAACAGGGATTTAAATATGTATAGAAACGAAATTTAAAAAAAAAGATAATGTAATAGGAAAAAATAGAAAAGACTGGGTGTCCTATGGATGCCAGGTGTCCAGCATACGGTTTCAAATTATCCTGGTTCTTCAGGTAGCTTACTTCTCAACACTGGCTATTTGTTTGTTTGTTTGTTTTTTGACACAGGGTTTCTCTGTAGCTTTGGAGCCTGTCCTGGAACTAGTTCTGTAGACCAGGCTGACCTGGCTATTTTTTATAGCTTTGTAAGTTAAAGAAAACTGATTTCAATGACAATATTCTTCCCGTAAGGATGCAAATCAATTTTGTCTCTGGGGCACCCTGAATTTTCACTTACTCCTGCCCATGACTGTGTCTGATATTAGCTAACACATTAATTCCAACAGTTCCAGTTTTGAGACAGGGTCTCCCTCACTATTAACGCGGCTCCCCAGGGATGGGGACCACTACAGAGCTAAAAGGCTCTGACAGAGTTATTACGGATATTGAGATGGCAAGGTCGTCCTACCATCTGTAATCACACGCATCCTTAAAAGAGAATTCTTCCCAGGGGCTGGAGAGATGGCTCAGGGGTTAAAAGCACTGGCTGCTCTTCCAGGGGACCCAGGACCCACATGGCAGCTCACAACTGTCTGTAACTCCAGTTTCAGGAGATCTGACACCTTCACACCAATGCACATAAGCTAAGTTAAATAAAAGGAGAGAGAGAACTTTTCCAAGTTGGGTCTGTGCATTATTCTGGGATAAAGAGATAGCTCAGCCATTAAGAGTACTAGCTGCCCTTCCAGAGGACCTGGGTTCAATTCCCAGCAACAACACGGTGGCTCACAACGTTCTGTATCTCAAGTCCCAGGGGATTTTATGCCCTGTACTTATGGACATTAGGTAAAACATCCATATACATAAAATAAAATAAATTTTCATTATCCAATAACCTATGTTTTTGTACAAATTTTATAAATTATAGACAATAAATATAATTTCAGATGTAACCAATTTAAAAATGATAAATAATTTTTCTTGGGGGGGGTTTCGAGACAGGGTTTCTCTGTAACTTTGGAGGCTGTCCTGAAACTAGCTCTTGTAGACCAGGCTGACCTCGAACTCACAGAGATTCGTCTGCCTCGCCCCTCCCGAATGCTGGGATTAAACGCATGCGCCACTACCGCCTGGCTAAAAAAGTATTTTTGAAAGTTAGTTTAAGAGACCATTGACTCATCCCAGGGAAAATGGTGGGAAGCAGATCTCAGGAGGGGCTGAGAAGGATGGGAGACCTGGTTTGGATGATGACAATGGTTCTAAGGATGAAGGGGACTGTCACCAAGTGGATATGGGAACGAATGGAATTGGATAGGGGAGGAGAGGGTGGAGTCTCGGGAAAGTCCCAGGTTTCCTCCTGCACAGATGGGGTTATGGGTGCCACAGATGGGAATCATTTGGTCTTCATCAAGAGAGTCCCTAGATCAAACTGGCCTGTGGCAATGTCCAGAGGCAATGGTCTTGACTGCTAACTGATGTAGGAGGCACAGCCCACCGTGGGCACCACCATTCCCTAGGCTGGTGGTCCTGGACTAGATAAGGGAGTTCGCCGAGCAGGAGCCTAATCGCGCCATCAAAGCAGCACTCGCCATGCTTTCTGCTGCGCTTCCTTGGCTGTGAGTGAATTTCTTGGTTAGCGGTACTGCTGCATGACCAGCAAGAAGGCCTACCCTTAAGATCCTACTTGAGTTCCTGCCCTGGGTTCTGCCAATGATGGACAGGGACCTAGAAGTATAAGCCAAATTCTTTCCTCCCCAAAGTTGCTTTTGGTCAAAGTATTTTCATTTTTTTTTTTAAATTTTTAAATCTCTCTCTCTCTCTCTCTGTGTGTGTGTGTGTGTGTGTGTGTGTGTGTGTGAGAGAGAGAGAGAGAGAGAGAGAGAGAGAGAGAGATTGAGAGAGAACATGTGAGGACAGAGGAGGGAGGCAGGTCTCCCCTGGTACTGCCCAGCTCCTGTCTCCCAATGCCATTTTTACTCAGAAACCTCGAATCCTAACTCCCAAGCTTTCCCGCAGGGGGACAGTGTGCACGCGCCAGCCAACCCAGACAGCTGTTCTGCTTGTCGGTTGGTTTTCACTCTAAATTAATGAATCACCACTCTGGTCATTCACCAGGCTCCTGTGAGTTTAGTCAGCGCATAACAATTTACCAGGGTTTGATCTCTCCCAGCTGGCTGGGAGCACGCTCAGCCACCCCGCATCTCCCCTCCCCCGCTTTGCAGAGGATCAGCCCTTGCACTGCGGAGACCACAGTAAGGCCTCCCTGCCTGGCACAGCTGCTGAACACCACAGGTGGGAAGGGGTCAGGTGGGGCAGGGCTGGAAGAAGCTGCCTATTGCGTTAGCCTGGGCTGTGTCAATTGAGAACCAGGAGCCTCTGTGTTTGCAACTTCCCTGCTATTTATAGTGTGCACATGGAGCGTCCTCACACATACCGGAGACTGAAGAAGTAACTCCAGAAGTTACCGGCTCTGGACTCCCTGGGAGGAGTAGCTGAAGCAAGCAGCTCTGGGAAACTGGGGGAAGGGGGCTGAGCTTTGGTTGCAGCTGATCTGGAGGTGTACATCATAAAGATTTCTTGGGAAATCCATGAAAATGATGACTTCCAAGCTACCTCTGAATTAATTCTTTAAGATTTTACTTTTCTTTTTCCCGTGTGTGTGTGTGTGTGTGTGTGTGTGTATGTGTGTGTTCTTGTGTGTGCAAATGCCAGAGGAGGTCATGAGCCTCCCCAAATGCGTGCTGGGATCTGAACCCCGGTCCTTTGTAAGAGCAGCAGTATTCTTAACTATTGAGCCATCTCTCCAGTCTTGAATTATCTTTTACCTACACCCCAGGATGACCTGGGTAATGCTGGGGGCACCCAACATTAATGATTGCCATCTTCTAAACAATGCATCCTCCTGGCCCCAAACTTGTCAAGTAACATCTTCTAAGAGGAAGAGGGATTGTCACCACCCGGTTAGAAGATTACCTGAGGCTCTTGGAGGTGTAAGCCACTTGTCTAGCATATAATTAGTACCAATAAATTTCAGAGCTAGGACTTGGTAAACCGGTCTCTTTAGGGCCAAACCCACATCCCTTGCACTCTGACCTGGGCTAGTCCCCCACAAGGGAAAGGACATTGTGGTCGCATCCTTCATTCCACACTGTCTTGGTCAATCGGGTGGTTAAATAGGAGGTGCCTGGGATCACCAGAAATGATGTATGCAGCATCCAAACCACTCAACAGTAATGATCGCAATCCTCTAACCAGGGAGTCCTCGTGATCCCACTGCCATGTGCTCAGCTCTCTGCAAGGTGCCGAAGGGAGATGACTGGGAGCATCTCATCGTCAACAAGGTTAAATTGCAGGTGCTGGAAGACAGCCTGAAAGGGGGTCAGAACTGGAGAGCCAGGAAATAGTCAGGTCAGCTGGCTTCCCAGACCTGTGCACCTCTCAGTGCCAGACAGTGGTCTGCGGTCTGCAGCGTTTCCCAGATGGGGAAACCCAGGCTGGGAGAGAGAAAGTCGCCAGGGAACCTGGCCTCCAGTTCCAGAAGCCATTTCCTCTCACTCATACTTCTCTGCGTCCCTCACGTCAACACTTAGGGTCTAGACAGGGGGCAGTTTTGGAAGGGGACAGGACTCCCAAAGAAGTCACATGAGAAGAAGGGCGACGAGGGGTTCCTTCCTGTCACCAGTAACCATCCCAAAGGGTACTTCCTCTACCACGACTTCACACTCAGCCACTCACCCCATCAGCCAACCCCAGACGAGAGACTGTACTTACATATTCTTTAATGTCCTTGGACTTCACAGCCTTGTAGGAATAATATGCAGGATAGAGGGTGCCAAATATAAGCCTGGAGAGGAGAGAGACAGGGGAAGAAAGAAGAGACGTCATTTTCCCCATGCTGTGTAATGGGAAACTTACATCAATTCCAGGGACTGTGCTCTGCGTCAGGAAAATGAATCCCCTGAAGGGTTCCTGTCTTAGGAAACACCTTCTCCTGAGATGGCCCACCCACACACTTCCTACTGCTTTGGTCTGGGCAACACCGAAGGGTGATTTGGTGTTCTGGAGGTCAAGATGGGAGGGGACAGCTAAGTTGAGCAGCCAAGGTGCTATCCAGGGCTGACTTCCTTCCTGATGTTGAGCCCTCAGCATCTCCGCAAGCCTATAATCACTGTATTTGACCTCAGCATCCTCGCAGCCAGAATAAGCGTTTATAAAACTCACAGATCTAATCAGGTCGAGCTCTCCCCCCATCAGCCTGTCTCTACTCTGCCTTCACTTCCATCCCGCCCGTAAGATTCAAGTAGTACACCAGCTGACTGGCTGCATTTCCGCTCTCACTAGGGTCAGGACGCAATTAGCTCTCAGACCTGCAGCTGAGATCAGTCTTCAAAGGAAACCTCTACCTGCCCCTACTCGCTACCTTCCCTTTGTCAATGCTGTTTTCTTCTGGAATCCCCCCTCCATCTTTTTTGATTAATGCCTACTCATTCATCAATCCCAACTCCCACATGATTTCCTGGACACCTCTCTGACCTCCCGGACTAGGTCAACCACTGAACACTCTCAGCACCATGTACGTATTTTCAAGGTGATCTTTTTCTACTCCTTGGTACTTTGGCTGACAGCCATCTCACCAGTGGTCCGTAAATGCCCCCCGAGGGCTGAGAACACTTGTGAAGGAGAGGGGCCACAGGGCCTCATTATTTGGTCCAGAATGACCTCGACCTGAGGATGTTCTTAGCTCAACCTCCTAGCACTGGGACTATAGGCATGCAACACTATGACCCAGAACAGGGGCTTTAAAAGTTACATTTATTCATTTGTGTATGTATAAGTATTCAAACGGATGTAATAGCACACATGTGGAGGTCAGAGGACAGGCAACTGGTAGAGTGAGTACCCTCCTTCTACAGTGTAAGACCCAGGGACTGAACAGGCCATCAGGCTTGGCAGAAGATGACTGTGTACACACTGAGTCATTTTATCAGCTCAATATATATTCATGCTTTTGAGACAGGGTCTCTCTATGTGGCTCTGGCTGGCCTGCAAGTTTCTATGCAGACCAGGTTGGCCTCAAACTCAGAGTTCTGGCTGCTTCTGCTTCCTGAGTTCTGGGATTAAAGGTATGCACCACCACACACAGGTATTATTTATTTATTTATTTATTTATTTATTTATTTATTTATTTATTTATTATTGTAGAAGGAAGGGTTTATCTGGGCTTACAGTTACAGAGGGGGTGTGTGGCAGCAGGCAGGCAGGCCTGGTGGCTGGAGCAGCAGCTGCATGTGTGTGTGTGTGTGTGTGTGTGTGTGTGTGTGTGTAAAATTTAACTTTATTTTATGTGCATTGGTGTGAGGGTGTCAGATTCCCTGGAACTGAAGTTACAGACAGTTGTGAGCTGCCATGTGGTTGCTGGAATCGAACCTGGGTCCTTTGGAAGAGCAGTCAGTGCTCTTAACCGCTGAGCCATCTCTCCAGCCTGAGAGCTCACATTTTAAAGCAGGAAGTCCAGGGAGTGGTGAGAAACTTTGAAACCTCAAAGCCCGCACTCAATGACACACTTCCTCCAGCAAAGTCATACCTCCTAAGCCTCACCAAACAGTGCCACCAAGTATCCAAATCTTTGAGACTATGAGGGACATCTCAGCGGTCCTCATGGTAGACTCCCTCATGGGTAGATCTGGGTAATCTTCCCTTTCCAATAAGTATTTTAAAAATAAACAAAAAGAATGTCAACCCTAGAAGACTTTATATTTTTGCCCAACTGACAAGGTCACTTGCAACTGTCACCTCAGTGCAAGCTGACCTGGGTACAGAAGCCACCCAGTTTCAGGTCTTACAGGAGCTGGCAACCTCAGACAGAGCGTGTGTGTGTGTGTGTGTGTGTGTGTGTGTGTCCCTTCAAGGAACCTGCCTTGTTAGGAAAAAATACCATGCTGGGGATATTCAAAGTCGATGCCCATTAGACATTTAGAAGTCATAGAGAGAAGATATGCAATTAACCTAGCAGGGGGCAGCTTTATCAGGAGCACTGTGGCTGGGGGACACCAATGTCCATAGAAAACAGAAATAACAGAACCACGTCAATTCTGTCACTGAGGAGATAGGGGTGTGTGTGTGTGTGTGTGTGTGTGTGTGTGTGTGTGCGTGCGTGTATACATATGTGTGTGTGTATTTGTACACAAATGCCTGTTTCAAGTACTTTACAAGCCTTATATATCCTAGACTTCTCTAGCTGAGGACCCCCATCATGTACATAGGGCCCCAGTTCTCAGGCTGGCTGCTTCCTTGCCCAGAGTCTCATAATCATTAACGAAGGAAGGAAAGCAGGGCAGACAAACTGGCCTCCTATGATTGATTTCCTATCACCACCATTGGCTGAGATGAGAGGCACGAGAAGGCAGATAAGCAAGAAAGAGGGAAAAAGTAGGTTGAAAGTGAGAGAAAGAGTAAGGGTGGTGGTGGGAGAGAGAGAATTTAAGATGGAGAAGGTAATGGGCATGGGGATGATGCTGGGCATGGCAGTGATGCTGGGCATGGGGGTGATGCTGGGCATGGTGGTGATGCTGGGCATGGAGGGGATGCTGGGCATGGGGATGATGCTGGGCATGGGGGTGATACTGGGTATGGAGGGAATGACTGCAGTTCTAGCATGCAGGAGACAGAGGCAGGAAGATTACTGAAAGTTGGAGGTCAGTCTGGTTTATAGAGTGTGGATCAAGCCAGCCAGGCCTACATAGCAAGACCCTGTTTCAGAGCACAAAACAGGGCAGGTGAGGTGGCTCCAAGCCTGATGACCTGAGTTTGATCCCCGGGGACCAAGTGGTGGAAGAAAAGAACTGCCTTCCTCCTTGTCCTCTGACTTCTACACATGCGCCATGGTACCCGCGTACCCACCCACCCCACACTAAATAAGTAAATAAATGTGATTTAAAAAAGAAAAAAAAAAACAAGAAGAAGCTGGGTCAAGGTGTGTGGCCTGGCCCGAGGGGCACAGGTGACCCTGTGAAGAAGGTCTCCCCCACTCTGTCCCCCTCTTGACCTGCCTCACTCCCAAGCAGTTTTGGGAAGTAGAGGACACTTCCTTCTTTGCTGAGGCCTTCCTGCCTTTGTTACTGTCCCTCCTCCCACCACCGCCGAGATAAGGCTCCTCCCCCTGTCCTCCCACCAGTCAAAGCTCCCTGCATTTTTTATTCCTCATCCTTATCTAAAACACTTAGGCTGTATTTTCAGGGCTGTCTCCCCCACAAGACGGGAAGTTCCACAGAGTCAGGGCAGTGTCTGCTTTATTTGTAGCTGCATCCCGTTCTTGGCCACGGAAGAGAGTGCCCAGTAGAGACATCAAAATCAGCATCCTCCAGGGGACACCTGTGACCTTGGATGAGGTCAGGCAACAAGGTGTATACCAGGCAGCACCAGGCTGAATCAGCAAGGCCTCAGGCACAATGCCAGCAATTCTGGGGCACAGATGCCATGGTTATTATCCATGTCTGCCAGGCTGGTTTCCAGCCCTTTCAGAGGCAGCATATACACAGGGGAAGATGAATCCAGGGTCCTATTGAGTGGTACCTGAGCTGAGGAGCTCACAGGGCACCTAGCCAGGGACGCCTGGGCTCCAACAGCCAGGGTGTCTTCGGACAGGAACTGGGAATCAGCAGCCCCTGCTTTTGCCCTGGTTGACAACAGAGGTCCCTCCATGAACACATTTACATTTGAGTCTCTGCTAACTCAAGACCTCCCCAGGGAAGAGAGACTGGGATTAAAACGGCACGTTCTCAAGAAGTAATGAATGGAGCGGGTCCAGGCTGGAGGGGTTTGGCATTTATGTCTGTTAAAACCAGGTGAGCATTCTGAAGAGTTTTCACAGGGGAGGGGGGATGACGGGGGAGCAAACCTAAGGCCTTGTGCCTGCCAGACAAGGGCTCTCTCTACCACTGAGCTACAGCCTCAGCCCTTTATGTCTGTGCAAGACCAAATGCCTCTTAAAAGAGCATTTTCCAATGATCCATCTGCCCACATCCCCAGTCTCACAGTCGCACCCTCCCACCCCCCACCCTCGGCTCCCAGCTTCAGATCAGAGTTCCAGGCGCTTTCCTAAGGAGCTAAGTGGCCAGCAATCTTCACCTTCCCGGCAGCTCTTTCTGCTGCCTGAGTCTTAGTGTAAGATCTCCTCTCAACCTCACAAGTGTTTTGTTTTCCTTGATGGAACCCCGCTAATCCTTTAAGAGCAATCTCAACAAAGCCATTTCAGTGAAACCCGGCCACTCCTGCCCCAGAAGCTTCTCCATGCTCTAGTTTTGTTTGGTTTTTGAGACAGCATCTCATGTTGCCAAAATCGACCTCACATTCACTGTAGCTAAGGATGACCCTGACCGTCTGACCTTCCTGCTTCTACCCCGAGTGCTAGGAGCACCGGCTTGCAACCCAGACTCTGTTTGCGTGGTGCTCAGGGTTTCATGAACCCACAGAGCTACAACCTCCACCCTGGCACTGCTTTTTAAAATCTTTTCTTTTACAGAATATCTTGTGTAGCTCAGGCAGGCCTTGAACTTGCTGTGCAGTAGCCAAAGGCTGTCTTGAACTCCTGCTCCTGCCAAGGATACCTCCACTTCTCAAGTGCTGGGATTACAGATGTGTGCCACCCTGCTCAGCTTGGTTCTGTGGGCTTTTCTGTAAGTTTAGGCCGTGTTTAACAATCCCCACCCTTGCCCCCACTCCTCCCAACTCCACATGCATCGTCTTCTTCTATTTTTTTTTAATAACCCATCCAATTTTGAGCTGCCCATAAACTCCTGGGTGTGGGGTCATTCACTGGAGCTCCGTCTACCTGCCAGGAGCCAC